TGCACCTTGCTTCCGGATAACCGCGCACCATCAGCCACCCTGCCGACAACCGCTTATCTGGCAGGCGGCTCCCGACAACCGCTCACGCCCCTTAAATACGGGAGATGAATCGACGCTTCGCAAATGCTGCATTTAATTCTTTGAGCAAAACTAACTATCCATACTACTAAAGACATTGCTACACTACATTCAGAGTCAATGGATTGGTTTGTACGGGCACTGTGACGGCCACTATGAACGGATAACTGGCGGCCACATAACCTAACCAGCGCCCGGCCGGCCGGGTGTTGAGCGGTTGTCGGGAGCCGCCTGCCAGATAAGCGGTTGTCGGCAGGGTGGCTGATGGTGCGCGGTTATCCGGAAGCAAGGTGCAGCTAAGCGGTTGTCCCCAGCCGTGCATCGAGGAAGCGGTTGTAGATAGGGGGTATCGTTAAAGACATTGGTAAGCATAGCAATTTACTTAAAGTGGTGCACATGAATGCAGAATCAATAAATAATGACCTTAAGTTCTCTGAATTTGTCGATATTTTCCACAATAGTGGTGTTGATGTAGTGGGTGTTAGTGAGACATTCTTTAATGCTGCTAGTCAGATAGAGATGCCTAATTATAAAGTTTACAATGCTAACAGAAGTGGCAGGAGAGGTGGGGGCGTAGCATTATATGTTGCTAACCACCTACCCTCTAAACAAGTGCACTCTACAACAAGTGATGGCTTTGTACCTGAATATATTTTTGTTGAGATTGAGTGCCAATCCTCTAAGATACTGTGCATTTGTATGTACAGACCCCCAGAAGTGGGCCATATGGATTTATTCATTAATGATGTGTACGATTTTCTACCTAACTATAAATATGTCATTCTGTGCGGGGATCTGAATGCTGGTTTTGGTAATGGTAGTTCTGAAGAGGCAATGATACGTGATAACCTATTTATGTGTAACCTCAGTGCTATACCCTATGAAAATACTTTCCGCAATCATTTCTGCGAGACTAACCTAGATGTTATTTCAAGTAATATGGATGAGTTACTTGTCGCCCATGGTCAAACTAGGGCACCTGGGTTTTCATATCATGACCTGCTTTATGCTGTGTTTGATGTAAGAACCCCTCCTAGGACAAGGCACACTGTCAGTTTTAGAGACTACAAATCTATCAACCTGGATTCTCTGAGAGACGATATTGATAGAACTTCCTGGGAAAGGGTGTTTCACTGCAGCAATATTGATGATAAAGTTCAAAACTTTAATGAAATAGTTACTGAATTAATGAACAAGCATGCACCTGTAAGAACAGTGAATGTGAAGCATAATCCCACCCCATGGATGACTAAAGACATTCGTAAACTGATAGCAAAGAGAAATAAGGCAAGGAAAAGACATGCTAAAAATAAAACTGACAAAAACTATGCCTTGTTTAAAAAACTGAGGAATGCAACCAAGCAGGCCATTCGCAATGCCAAAATTAGATACTACCATACGATACTAAACAGTCCATCAGCTAAAAAGGTTTGGAATGGAATTAAGTCATTAGGTATTAAAACAAAAAATACCAACTTGACCCAAACTAGCTTTCCAGTAAACCCTGATGAATTAAATAGTCATTATGTCAAGGTCTCAACTGTGGAAAACTCAGAAGTAGTGGCACAGGCTGTTGAAGAGTACCTTGGTAAAAATGATCACACTGGTGAAAAATTTCATTTTAAGTATGCTTTTCCTAGTGACATTAGGAAGGCCTTTCTTAGTATTTCCTCCAAAGCTGTTGGTGTAGATGGTATATCCATAGTATTTATTAAGATTGTGCTTGAAATGTTACTACCTGTGATTGAACATTTATTTAATTATAGCTTACAATCTAGTGTTTTTGCAAAGGTGTGGAAAATGGCAAACATAAGACCATTAGCAAAGTGTAAAAACCCTGTGGAGTGTAAAGATTTTCGCCCTGTTAGTGTTCTATGTGTGATTCCCAAAGCACTTGAGAAAATTGTTCACCAGCAAATAACAGAATATGTTGAAAGTAATGGCATCAGTAATCCACTCCAATCTGGTTTTAAGAAAAGGCATAATACAACTACAGCTCTGATAAAAGTTACTGATGATTTGAGGAAATCTATTGATCAAGGGATGGTAAATTTGTTGATTCTGTTGGACTTTAGTAAAGCTTTCGATAAAGTCCATCACAAACTGTTACTCGTGAAGCTCAAAGCACTTGGCTTTTCTGCTGCTGTAATTAAATGGATTGAAGAGTACCTGACAGATAGACTGCAAAGAATTATGTCTGGTGACGATTTTATTTCTGACTGGCTAAGCCCAGAAACTGGTGTACCGCAGGGCAGTGTGCTAGGGCCGTTGCTTTTCTCACTGTACATTTATGACATCCCAGATGTGCTTTGCTATAGTAAATACCATTTATATGCAGATGATCTCCAGATTTACATCAGCTTTTATCTTAAAGACTATGTAGCTGCCTGTTGTAATGCAAACTCTGATTTGTCAAAAATCGTTGATTTTAGTGCAAAGCACAATCTCTCTCTTAACATTGGCAAAACAAGCCCCATATTAGTGGGCTCTAATGCTTACATAAACAAGCTCAAAGATTTGAATATCCCGCAAATTTCTATAAATGGAGTGTCTATACCATATCAGTCAAAAGTTGTTAATCTGGGTGTGACCATGGACAACACTCTCTGCTGGAATTACCAAGGAATAAATATTGTAAACCGGGTGTTTGCCACACTAGCACAAATTCGAAGGAACTTTGCATACCTACCAGCAGCGATAAGGCTCAGAGTTGTCAAATCACTTGTTTTCCCTGTGTTTGATTACTGTAATATTCTGTTTACTGACATGCTCGTTGATACCTCAACAAAAGTGCAAAGGGCTCAAAATGCATGTATTCGATTTGTCACAGGTGTAAGAAAATTTGATCACATCACCCCTTCATATATTAGTCTTAAAGTGCTTAAATTTGAGGACCGGCGAAGAATAGCTATTGCTCTGCTAACTTGGAAAATCCATAAATTCAAAATGCCTTGCTATCTCTATGAAAATTATGTGCTCATGTCTTCTGTCCACTCTCGCACTAATCGCTATACCCATCTCTCTGTTCAAATACCACGTCACCGCACTGAAAAGTATGCTAATTCATTTTTTATTTCCTCGTGTCGCCTGTGGAATGAATGTAACATCTCAACTTACCTACATTTGAACTCTTGTAGTCAACTTAAGAAAGCATTAACAGAATTAGCTCTAAGTAAATATGTGATGAATTCTGTCTCTTTGTAAGTGCCAAACCATGTCAGCTTTCATATGTCCTAGTCTATAGCTATTATGACTACTGTGTACCTAAATTAGTTATTATTTTTGTACTTGACAAATTGTAAGAAACTTTTATGGAGCAGGTGCGTTGCCGTTAGTGGGGCTTGTCAGCCCTTTGGTGAGCACCTAAATAAAAATTATTCTATTCTATTCTATTCTATTCTCTCCCTTCCCCCTTCCCTCCTCCTCCTCTCTCCCTTCCCCCTTCCCTCCTCCTCCTCTCTCCCTTCCCCCTTCCCTCCTCCTCCTCTCTCCCTTCCCCCTTCCCTCCTCCTCCTCTCTCCCCTCCCCCCTTCCCTCCTCCTCCTCCTCTCCCTTCCCCCTTCCCTCCTCCTCCTCTCTCCCTTCCCCCTTCCCTCCTCCTCCTCTCTCCCTTCCCCCTTCCCTCCTCCTCCTCTCTCCCGTCCCCCCCCTCCTCCTTCTCCTCCTCGCCGCAACACGACCGACCGCGAGGCTGAGCGCGCGCCTGGCGGCTCAGACCGAGCCGGCAGCCATAGGAAGCTGCGTCGCAAACCGTTTCCGGTTTGAGACAAAGGCGCCATCCGGAGACAGCTGCCCGTCAGAGACGCTAAGCTGTCGCGAGCACGCGGCTCGGCCAAGCCAGGGCGAGCCAAGCCAAGCCGAAGGCCTATCACCATCCGCCAACTTCGCATTGCCAGAAATGAGTTTGCCGACGACTTTCTTTCGAGGTATTCAAAACACCCCAAAGAGAACGGGGATTCCGTCTTGGGAGGCTCGGCGACGTCTACGGCGGAAACAATGAATGAAACAAAAAAAGGGAAAAAACCTAGGGAAAAATAGGGCGGTACTCTTGGGGCTGTGCAGGAGTACCGTCTGCTCGGCACGGCCACTGACATTGACTCGGGGAGTCGAGCTTGTTTCTGGCTGACTTCCATTTGAATTGAAAGTCAAGCTTGTTCCTGTGGACTTCTGAACCGAGAACCGTGCTGATTACTCTTTACTAGCAGACTTACGTTGGGTTCTTAAGTCGAACTTGTCTCGCAAGCATCCATTTGACTCCTGAGTTGAGCATGTAATACTCAGACTTACGTTCGACCCACAGGCCGAATTTGCTTTCTTAAACTGACTCGGAAGTTGAGCTTTTCACGTTACTGCGGGAACCCAGGAATGTGACGTCAAATTCGTTTCAACGTGCATTGGCCACGGCCAAACGAGCATCACTTCACATTCACCTGGCTTCCCATCGCACTGAGATTGAAGGAAGTCTTGATCATTACCCAACTTTGGGCAAGGTACACTTTCCCAGCCAATTTCTGGTAAGGTAAGGTTTCCTCGCACAAATTTTGGCAATAAAGAACACCTTGCCCAAAATTTGAGTCATGATCATCACTCTATCATTCTCTGTGTTCTGTTGCTGGCAGCACTGAGAATGAAAGAGTCATGATCAATACCCAATTTTGGGCGAAGTATACTTTATCACCCACATTTGGGCGAGGATTGTTTTCTCGTCCAAATTTGGGTGAGGAAAGGTGTACTTATCAGCTGCCTAATTGGCTCCATAGTATTATGACCCGAATTTGGGTGAGGAAACTCTCCTCACCCAAATTTGGGCGAGGAAACCCAAAATTTTAATCATGACCATGACTCTTTTTTCTCAGTGGGACTTAACCCTTGAGTCGAATTTGCCTATTAAATTGAATCTAGCTTGTTGAAGGCAGACTTACATTTGACCCGGAAGTCCAGCTTGTTGCTGGAGGACTCTCCCTCCGCGTTGCTGCCCACGCACGTGTAGGTGCCGGCCGAGGCCCGCGTCACGCGCTGCAGCACCAGCGACTGGTTGGAGCGCAGGATGCGCGCCGACGCGTTCTGGTGCAGCGGGTGGCCCTGGAACAGCAGGGGAGGACATATGTTAGTCAGATCGACATAAATCTCGTCAATGTACACAGGTGCCACCACCACCGTAATCCTTTGTACAAATTGGCTCGTAAAGAAGCTTTTTCGTCCGTAAAGCCTAAAATAGTTTTTGGGAGAGAACACTCAAAAAATTTCACAAAGCTTTTGCTTCGTAACTACGAAGAAAATCAAGGCATTGTAGAACCGCTTCGTGTTAAAACGACATGTTTCGTAATACGAAGAAATGCTTCGTAGCATATACCATGCCTTCGTTTTCTTCGAATTGCGAAACTATTTTTTAGTGAAATTGCTACAGTGCAGAACCTGAAAACTGTATCACTTTAAATCCTTCAGCCAGAGAGTGTCTGGCACAACACAGCCAAGGATATGTCTGTTCAGATACTGCGAAAAGAAATGGGCGGAGCGCACCGAAATAAACGTTGGCCCGTGGACCAACCAAATGCCCCGGTAAAGTTGTCCCGTCCCTCAGTTTGCTCATTCCACCGCGCGCACTGCGTAGGCTTCCAGTCGAGTTTCGAGGCCAAGAAGGCCTTGAAGTGTCCCAGCAGACTGATTCCGAGAGTCGCCTTCGTCGGCGCGTCTCTCTCGCTCTCACGGGACGTCCCGCTTGAGTGCGCGAGAGACAGCGCGACGAAGGCGACTCTCGGAATCAGTCTGCCAGCGCGCCTCCAGCCGCCACGCCTCCAGCGAGGACGACGCCTCGGGCCACGCCACTGGCGACGCCAAGCTGTCAACGCGGGCCTACGCCCCAATTAATCCGTTCTAATTCGCCCCGCCATGGCGAATTCCGAAAATAACCAACCGAGCGAGGGCGGCCCGCTCGCCCCTCATTGACCAAAGCCGCATTAAAGCCGCTTAGGCGATCTCGGCGCTATTGCTGCACGTTGGTGGTGCAGCGCGTTTGATGGCCGAGATCAAAACGGCCCGGTTTCATGGACCATTCGCGGGCCGCCTCTCCATATTTGGGCTGAGTGTCTTGTTGTGGGGCGTCGGCAGCACGCCGTGCTGGTGCGGCGGTCGTCCGGAAGACCAGTTTAGGGGTTGACACGATGCACGTTGTCCCAATCTACAGTTAAAAAAAAGAATTGCTTCTGATGTTTTAATTTTTTTTCATTTATGTTTGGAAGGCCTTATCACACTCTCATTTCACGAACGTGACATCACGTTGAAACGAACGTGACAAAATGTCACGTTCGTTTGAGCATTGTGTCACGTACGTTTGAATGTGAACAAGCTGATTTCTGGAATGAGAGTGCAGTCAACTACAAAACCTAACGGTCTATTGAGTGCACACTTGCAAATGCATACCTGCAAGTGCATCCTAGACAATGTATACGCTAGATGACCCGGGCCAGGCATGCATTTGTAAGAGTGTACTTTTGATCAAGTATCCAATAGTAAGTGCATTTGTAAGGGAGTCTTAAACAGGCAGTTGGTTTTGTAGTGCATGATTTAAGAGGCGAAACAAGACACTTTTCTTCAACAATTTAAACTTTTAAAGAAATAGGACGTCATGAATTCATTCGCGCGAACATTGCACATGGCACCCGTTTCTTCCGGTGCAGTGTTCTTCTTTTTTTTTCGCCCCGAGAGCAGCAGGTCCCAACCCTTAATAAGCGAGCGTCCCAGTGACCCCTTCCTCTTTTCCCTCTGCAACGGGGACAATTTTTGCGGCATGTTTTTTTTTTGTTTTTTTTTTTCCTCTGCAAGGCGCGAGCTAGCCGAGTTGGTGGCGTCAAAACAAGTTAGACCGGCGTCCGCCGGGCTTCAAAAGTAGCGCCGCCAGGCGGGTGGCGTGGCAGTGCACGGCAGTGCCACGGAGCCAAGCCGGCCGGGGCGAGCCGCCGCGCGGGGGGTCCTCCGAGCGGCCCCGGGGGACAGCTGGCGAAGCGGGGCCCCTTTACGCGAGTGGCGGGCCAGCAGACTGAGTCCGAGAGTCCTTTTCGTCGCTCTGTCTCTCCCGCACTCATGGGTCGCCCCGTACAGGTGCGAGAGAGACAGAGCGACGAATACGACTCTCGGAATCAGTCTGCAGTCCGGCTGCAGCCAGCAGACCGAATCCGCGCGCGGCGCTTTCGTCGCTCTGTCTCTCTCGCACTCTCGCGGCGCTGCGGGATGTCCGGTGGGTGCGAGAGAGACAGCGACAAAACACTGCCGCGCGGAATCAGCCTGCAGACGGCCCGGCACGCTGCGCCGCGCTGCGCGGTCCACGCCGGCGATGATTGAAACCGGCCTCAATCAAAATAATGGAGTCGCCGGGGACGGGGCGCAGTGGGCCAGAAGACCGGTGGCGGCGGCTAAAACTTTAGACGCGTTTTGAGCTCCAGAGTCGGTAAACAAGACTCGAACCGAACGTGTGACCCCACCAATGGACTGCTCTCCGAATGAGGAATCCATTGGTGGGGTCACACGTTCGGTTCGAGCCCTGTTTAGCGACTTTGCAGCTCAAAACGGGTCTAGAGTTTTGGCCGCCTCCACCGGCCTTTTGGCCCACTGTGCGGGGCGCAGCACAGCAGGCCCACTCCGAACGGTGATTTCGTCGCTCTGTCTCTCTCGCACCTATACGGAACACCCCGGGAGTGCGAGAGAGACAGAGCGACGAAAACTCGGAATCAGTCTGCTGCAGCGTGGGGGCGGGCGAAGCGTGGCGACGTTTCCAAACCGAGTTTCTGTTGCCGCGGCACAGCGGCGCAGCGGCGCCCAGGGGACGGGCAGAGGCGGGCAGAAGCCCCCGGAGTCCGTCAAGCACTCCACCAAGGGCACCGGCAAGGACAGACGGCGCCGCCGACCTGCACACTGGTTTCAAACTGCGGTCGCTCTGTCTCCCTCGCACCACGACAAGGCGCGCAGGCACGGATCCAGTGCGGGGCAAAAGGATAACTGACCCGCTTTGCCCTTGGCTCCTGAATAGCCGCCAGAAAGGTTAACAAAATCGCCACACTTTGCCTCTGTAAGTAGGCAAAAAATGCTCCTTGGCCCTTCCCTCAGGCCGGCTTTAGATCCGCCACCAACGCAGCAAAGTCAACGCAGCTCTGTCCGCAACCACCTGCAGGGCTGATTCCGAACTGTGCTTCTGTCACACCTTCCATCCAGCAGGAGTGCGAGAGAGATAGAGCGACGAACACGCAACTGGTTCGGAATGGCCCGCCGCACAGTGGGCCAGAAGACCGGTGGATGCGGCCAAAACTCTAGACGCGTTTTGAGCTTCAGAGTCGCTAAACAAGCCTCGAACCGAACGTGTGACCCCACCAATGGATACCTCGTTCGGAGGGCAATCCGTTGGCGGGGTCACACGCTCGGTTCGAGTCCTGTTAAGCGACCCTGGAGCTCAAAACGCGTCTAGAGTTTTGGTCGCCTCCACCGGCTTTCTGGCCCACTGTGCGCCGGCCGCGACCTCGCCTCGGCCACCGCCAAACTACTCATTAGGCACAATAAGCGCGCTTCCAGACTTCCAGTGGCGAGTGCCGACCGGGGCTCGATCGGAGTGCCGCACGAGGAGGCACTGCAGACTGACTCCGAAAGTCGTTTCCGTCGCTCCGTCTCTCTCGCAGCCATACGGGACGCCCCATGCGGACGACAGAGGCAGAGCGACGAAAACGACTCTCGGGAATCAGTCTGCTGCTTGGCGTGGCCACCGCGCGCCTCGCCCAGAAACAGGGCAGCCCGACATCAAACGGCACCGCGGGTACGGGCGGGGCGGGGTGAGGCGGGGTGGGGCGGGCCGGCCAAGAAGCGCAGAGCAGTCGAGCGTGGCGGGGCGTGGCGGGCCGTGCCGGGGCGCAATCACGTTCCAGGCCGACAAGTCGGCGGCGATAGGGCCCTACACAATAGCGGGCCGCGGAACCACTTTGGCCACGCCGTCATTTAAATCAATCCCCGAAAAAAAAAAAGAAAAAAGCAAAGCCGCGCCGCCAATGACCGCGTACACTGTAACGCTGCAGGCCGCGTGCCGCAGGGCGCTATGTTCTGCGCTCGCCACGGAGAAGGTGCACCGCGACACGCACCAGTCGCACTCCGCAGCGCGCGGCACAGTGGGCCAGAAGACCGCTGGCGGCGGCCAAAGCTCTAGACGCGTTTTGAGCTCCGGAGTCGCTAAACAGGACTCGAACCGAACGTGTGACCCCACCAATGGATTGCTCTCCGAACGGGGAGCCATTGGTGGGGACACACGTTCGGTTCAGGCCCTATTTAGCGACTCTGGAGCTCAAAACGCGCCTAGAGTTTTGGCCGCCTCCACCGGTCTTCTGGCCCACTGTGCGCAGACGTGCGAGAAAGATGGGAAAGCGATCCTCCGGAATGAGGCGGTGGCTCGGTCACGCAAGACGACCTTGTCTCGTTTTGCAGTGCAGGCGAGCATGAGTCGGGCCCGAAATGGCATACGATCATTTGTGGTCTAGCCCGTAATGGTAATGGTACGGCGGGTAGGCAGCACGCGTCTCTGTCGCACAGGGCTGTGCAGCGTGTGGCCTACCCTCTCTTTCACAGGGGTCTGCCAGCTCCGTTCATGGACGCCCATCCAGGAACGCAACTGAGAAATTCAGACGAGAGGTTTGCCACTGTCTGCGTCACGCTCTTATGACGAGCCCCATGAGTGCGAGAGAGACCTTGGAGAAAGACAGGGCGACGAAAACGACTCTCGGAATCAGTCTACTGCTTACGTCACGACTGTACCAAACGGCCAACAGTCCTCCAGGACCACCTTGATTGGCTGTCTTGGCGCGCTGCCAGACTTATTTCACAGGCCAAGCGGCCCGACAGATTAAATTTATACAGTCCCTTCTCGCTACACGCCGTGACCCGGGCGGCCTGCGGAGTGCCCGTGTCTTGCGGGCCGGCACTGGCACACTTTGAATCCTCACTGCATTAGTGGACCACTTTACTGGCTTTCCAGGGCGTCACTCTGTTAGAAAGGGGGAAATAACCTGCATTTAGCTAAGGTTCTTCGAAAAAAAAAATACAACACACAGTAA